CCATCCCAAACTGCAGCAGGCTCCATCCCAAACTGCAGCAGACTCTGTCTCCAGCTCTAATTCCAACTGCTGGCCAGCTAACCCACTCTTTTATAACATCCAAATTCATTGGGCAGGCACGGATATTTCCACTCCCAATATTCAGTACAGCTGTAGTTTATTGTAGATGTAATTTTTCTGTGCTATCCTTTCCACCTCTCTTCCCACAGGTCAGTGCTCCCTGGAGCATTTCCTGGCTCTGTGTTTGTGTGACCTCAGGCTGGGCTCAGGGGCATTTTCAGTGCTCAGCTGGGACTCTTCTATGCAGTTCTACATCAGGGGACCTGCAGCCCCTCTGTGACCTCTTCTGTCCCTCAAACCACACATGGAACTTTCAGACTTGGAGGGCTTTTGATATCCCTCCAGGAAGTGCCAAACTTTCCCACCTCAGCTTCTCCTGAGGAGCAGACCTCGAGGGAGAGACACTTAAAGAGAGATGCTTAATGTGGTCAGGGCACACAGGATTTCTCACAAGTAGGAAAATTCTCTTATTCCTCATGGAAAATATCTTCAAACTGATTCAGAACTTCTCAGTGTCTGTAGAAGCCAGCTCAGCTCCTTCCTTTTATGTTTCTTTATGTGAATTGTGTAATTTTGGTGTCTTTCTGGTGTTGTATTTTCTGTCCTTCAAGAATGATGAGAGAAATGTAAACCAATATAAAAAGGGAATGAAAGGTGCACTCGCATCATTAAGTCACAAAAGGCTGTGTTTGACACTTGGATTATTGTACATTTCTTTGAACTGAAAAACTCAGAGCATTCACTGAACTCAGCCCAGAGACCAAGGTGCTGCACACGTGGAGCAAAATCCTTCCTGCCCTGTGGTGCTTAGAAGAGTTCCAGTCAGAGTTTAATGTTTTAATCTGTTATGTCCTGTTGTCTCCTTGTCATTGGCACTTTTGTCCCACTCCCGCTCCCATTTCCAGGCATTTGTGCAGGGCCTGAGGCTTTCCTGTCACCCCAGTCCTTGCAGAACCCTCCTGTTTTTATTTTTCCCACTTTGAGTGTTCCCAGAACACTGGCATCTCATGGGATCCCCTCCCCCTTCAAACACAGTAATCCAAAAATGCCTGTTTTGAAAAACACTTCTCCCCTGTTGATTGTTCACAGAACTGTAATTTGCTATTTTCTTTAATAAACTATTTATACTGAGCACGTTTGAGAGTCTGTTTGGGTTACAGGAGGAAGCCAGTCCTGGGCTGTTCTTCACTTGAGGGAAGGGCAGAGTGTTGCTGTGTGGAGTCTGTCCTTGCCTGATTTCTAGTGCATCTAATAAAATCAATTAAAAAGGAAACAAAAAAAACCCGAAACAAACAAAAAAACCCAACAATAAAAGAGATTGTCCTAATGGCTTGTGCATCCAGGGAAGGAGTTCAACAGCACAAATGCTGGGATTTGTCTGAGAACAGCTCAGGCTGGGCACAGAGCAGGGCTCACCTGGGTCACCTGGTGGATCCAGGGCAGCAGCTGAGCCACGTTGGTGTAGACCCCGGGGTGGTTGGGCTCAGCACAGCCCTGGCCCCAGCTCACAATTCCCACCAGGCGCCACATGGATCCATCCCAGCACACCAGGGGTCCCCCACTGTCCCCCTGTGGGGACACCACGGAGTCACAGCCTGCTCTGGGTGCTGAGGGCTCACCCAGTGCCACCCCCTGCCAGGTGCCACCGTCCAACCTGGCCTTGAGCTCTTTATGTGTCCCCGAGGGTGTCCCCAGGGCACCCCCAGCCCTACCTGGCAGGCATCCACACGTCCCTGCAGGTGTCCTGCACAGAGCATCCTGGCTGTGAGCTCACCCTTGTACACACAGGAGCTGTTGCACCTCCGGGTGCCAATCAGGGGCACCAGGGCCTCCTTCAGCGTCCCAGCCACCTGTGCTGGGGACAGGGACAGAGAGAAGCCAGGAGAGAACCCAAGGGAGCAGAAGGGGACGGCAGGAGAAGGTGGCACTGCCCTAAGGCAGGAGGTATGGCCAGGCCCTCAGGAGCAGGGCTGGGATGAAGGCAGGGCGAGCATTTGGGATGGGAGGGGCTGGACAGGGCTGGGGAAAGGCTCGGGGGGGTGGAGCTCACCTTGGCCAGGTGTGGTGTAGCCCCAGCCCGACACCCAGCACTGCGTGCCCTGCAGCAGGTCCTGCGGGGAGGGCGGCAGGCACACGGCTCGGATGGCACCTGGTGACAGGGACAGCTCAGAGGGGACAGCACCCCACAGGGGACAGCTCAGAGGGGACATCTCCGGCAGGACTGGCTGCAGAGCCCCCAGGCTGGCTCGGGGATGGAAAAGGCTCCTGGTCCAGCAGCTGTGGCACTGCAGCCCCCACTGCCAGCTCTGGGCACGCTGTGCCTCCCCCGTGCCAGCCTGGGCGCTCTGCAAAGGGGTCAGGGCCGGGCTGGACGGGGCTTGGAGCACCCTGGGACAGCGGGAGGTGTCCCTGTGGAACTGGGGTGAGCTTTACGGGCCCCTTCCAACCCAAACCGTCCTGGGATTTTGGTTCTGCCAGAGGCTCAGGCTCAGAAGAAGCTGGGTTTGGGCAGCTTGTCACTGGGGGTAGGGCAGAAAACTCCACAGAAGGACACGAGAGCATCAGGAGAACACCGGGACAACACCAGGACAACACCAGGACAACCCTGACCTGAGAAATTGAGGGGCACTTGGAGCCTCATCAGGGCGATGTCGTAGTCCAGGCTGCTGTCGTTGTAGAGCGGGTGTGGGATGATTTCCCGGACTGGCACCCCGGCCTCGGGCCCGAGGGAACTGCGGGAGACAATTCCCGCAAAAACCTGCCAGGCTGGGGCTGGCATCTGCCTGGAACCGAGCGGGACGGGCACTGCCCTGAGCGCGGGGCAATGAGCACCGAGGTGTGGGCACAGGGAGACGGGGATGGGGACAGGGAGACGGGGATGGGCACACGGAGCCCCAGGATGGGCACACGGAGCCCGGGGTACCTGTGCACACAGTGAGCTGCCGTGAGGATCCACTCGGGGGCCAGCACGGAGCCCCCACAGCGGTGCTGGGAGCCCTGGCACACACTGACCTGCCAGGGCCAGCGCCCGGGGGACACGTCTGTGCCCCCCACCACCCTGAGAGCCCCTGCCTGCAGCCCGCACTCTGCAAGGAACGGGGGCACAGGCTCCAGCTCCAGCCCTGCCTGCTGGAGGGCGAGGGGAGCAGGGGAAATGGGGGAGAGAAGCTGCTGCATCCAGGCAGAGATCCTGGGGACCCGGGACAGGAGGGAATCGCTCACCTGAGCACTGCAGAGCCACAATTCGGCCGGACTGGCAGCTGCTCCTGTGCGGGAGCAAGGCTCTGGTCAGAATAAACGTCAGCCAAAATCCCTGCAGTTCCCAAGGAGGTGTTGGCTGCACAGCACCCGCACACTCCGGGGTTCAGCCTGAGGAAAGGCTCCAGCCCTGCTTGCCCCAGAGCTGCCCTTACCTGACGTGCCACATGTCCTCCAGGCCTCCTCCCTGCCGGGGCCTCACCTGCAGGAACTGCTGCCCAGCACTCACCTGCACATCCCTCAGAGCCACTCCCTTCTGCTGGGTCACGCTGCGGGAGCAACAGGAAATGTCCTGGGGAGGGGTCAGGGATGTGACCCTGCCACGGGAGTGTCACAGTCCTGCAGCTCTGGCAGCTGGCAATGAACTTTTTGGCTGGCAGGACCTCCTGGAGCCATCCCTGCAGGTCCCAAGCCCGGTTTCCCCAGGGAATGGGGAGGCCTGGATCTGCTGCCCTGACAAACCCCCCCAGCCAAGACCATCCCCCTTGGAAAGGGCTCCCTGTGCCGTGCCCACCTGAGGTACCCGAGCTGCTGGCAGAGCAGGGTGCCCAGGGAGGGATCCCAGTGCCCGTGGCACACCAGGAGCCAGCCAGGATGTGCCTCCACCCGTGCCTGCAGCAAGGAATTGGCCGTGTTGATCCTGAAAGACACTAAAGCCATTCCATTTCAGACAGCCTGGGAGTTCCCAACCTCTGTGCCGGGTCATGCACAGCCAAAGGGGAAAAAACCCACCCTAAACCCCAGGAAAAAACTACTTGAGGAATTAGAAACTCTAAATGAACCCAGTCAGAGGGGTCACAGGCAAAGGAGTGATGAAAGAGTTTCCTTTGCTGGGAGATCCCTCAATGCAACAAAGCTGCAGCACTGAGGGGTCCAGCAGGACTGAAGAGAAAAGCCAAACTGCAAAACGCAGCAGACAGAGATTTTTAAAGAGCCTCTTTCCTGCCCTTGCCTTGGGGCTCCCCTCTCCCCACCACTGTGACATCAACCAAAGGTGCAAACCTGTGCTGGGAGCCCCCCGGACCACGGGCTCTTCCTCCTCATCATCATCACACGCTGGGATCGCATCCAAATCCTGCTCCTGGGGGGAGCCCTGCTCTGCCTGGGGCTCCTTCCTGTGCTTCACTTCAGGAGACAGACAAGCTGCTGAGGGTGGGCTCACACAGCCCAAATTTACCCCAAACTGGGCACATCCTGCCCGCAGCAAGAGCTGAATGAGCCTCTCCAGGAGCACAGCTCTGCCCCACCCCAAGGGCTGAGCAGGGAGCCCCTATCCCCCCCACCCCACTGCCGGCACCCCAAAATCGCTGTCAGAGTGGCAGCAGGGCTGTCCTGGGGGGACACTGACCCAGCAGCCACGTCCCAGCCACCATCCCTGCCAGCAGCACGGCCACCCCCAGCAGCAGGAGCAGCCTCCTGACGGTGCAGACAGCCCCGAAGGACAGCTCAGCAGGACCTGGAAGGGAGGCAGAGAGGCTCAGCGTGCTCTGTGCGTGTCCCACAGCTCTCCCAAACCCCTGCTGAACCCCCTGGCAGGTCCTGCACTGATTCCAAGGCTCGCTCGCTCCTTTCCCGCAGGAGGAGCTGAGCCAAGCCCTGGATTCTGCCGGAGCCCAGCACCCAGAGCCCACCCTGCTCCCCAAGGCCACCCGCAGCTCACCCACCGTGCCCTGGGCAGGGCTGTGTGCCCGCTGCTCCCCTCCCGGGACTGTGCACGGCATCCTCGGCGTGGCCCCAGCTGCGGGGACAGCTGTGGGGACAGCTGTGGGGACAGCTGCGGGGACAGCTGCGGGGACAGCAGCAGAGCCCAGAGCCGCTCGGTGCCAGGGCTGGGTGCTCGGGAAGGGGCAGAGCTGTGGGGTCCCTGCTCAGCATGGCACAGCAGAGCCCAGCTCGGCTGCCCGGAGCCAGCTCAGGTTGCCGTGCATGCGCTGAAGGCGCTCCCTGTCCCCAAACCCCCCGCCCTGAATTGAAACCCTTCGGGTGGATTGAAGCGTGCTAAGCCACTCACACATAAAGCAGAGGGGAAAGTTTAAGTTTTAGCACAAGCAAGCAAGCAAGCAAGTAAATAGAATAAGTTTTAAGTGCTTTTAGCAAGTAAAAAGTTTTAGATGCCAGAGAAGTAGTACATGTTCTAGTAAAGGTTGAAAAACATGCCAGTGTTTCCTTAAAAGCTCCAAGAACCTGGCTTCAAACATAATAAAGTTATAGTTAAAATTTTTGCTTACATTTTTCAGTTAGAACAAGATAGGCCATGTATGTAGTTTATACATAGCCTGGCGTGCTAAAAAACTATAATTCTATTAAGTTAAAAAGTAGTAATACAAGTTTGTGTCTTAACTTGTTAAAAAGTTTCTATCAAAAAAAGCTAATACTTTTTTGCCATTACTTTTGCTTTGCTTTACTTTTGTTCCTACTCTCTCACCACCATCATCAACACCCCAAAAAACCCCCAAAAAAACCTCCCCAGCTTCACCAGCCATGTTAAAACCACTGAAAGCAAATTCTACTGTTTAAAACTCTAAACCAAAGCTTAACATAAACTTTACTATCTATAACTTTTACTTTAAAACTAATGTACTTCTGCAATAAATAACTTTATAACAACTTTTAGCTTTCAAAAAACCCCAAACAAAACAACAAATAAATACCAAAAACACCCCAAAAATTTAACCTCACACCCTGCTGCTCCAGGTGTCCCTCCTGTCCCTCCCTGGGGCTGCACAGAGCCAGAGCAGCAGCTGCTGAGCCCCCAGAGCCATCTCCCACCTGCTGCCCCCGTGTCCCCTCCCGTTCCTGCCACACGAGAAGCCCCAGGAGATGCTGAAGGGGCTGCGGCTCCAGCCAGCCCTGCCTGCAGTGGCTCCGAGTCCTTTGGGCATCAAAACTTCCTAAAACGAGGGAAAAAAAAAATTCAGAGAAAAGCCTGGAGCTGCTTTTTAGCATCCCCACGTGTCCAGCCAAGCCGGGGCAGGTGAGGGGCAGGTGAGAGCTGGTGGGGCCCCACGGCTCCGTGAATCCCCCCGGGGAATCGGCCCCACCTCCCCACGGGCTGGATTTCAGTGCCTGGGGCACACAAGGGGCAGCAGATGTCGGGCAGCGGCTCCCAGCTGGCTCCTGATTCTCCCGGTGGTTTCCTGTTGCTGAAAATGGAGTTTCCAGCCCGTGGCTGGGCTGTGCTGGGGCAGGAGATGATTTTCTTTCCAGTGCAGAACTCTGGTGGAACAGAAATCCCTCAGGCTGCTCCATGCCCTCATCCTCCTCTGCCCCAGCCCCCGAAACCAAGAGCAGCTGAACATTCTGGAAGAGCTGTCCCATGGAATAAAAACTTTTTTCCCCTTAACTTCTCCATCCCTGACAGGCACAGCTGGTGCCTCGGTGCTCCAAGCACCGATGAATTTTTAACGCTATTTAACCAAAGAAGCTCCCATGAATATTTCATGGCCTGTCCTGCAGGTCCAGGTGGGGGTTTGTGCTGTCTCTGAGCAGCACCAGGTGTGCTGTGGCACAAACCCACCCTGGGCTGGGCATTGCTGTGAAAACGGGGCGGGTTTGGGTTGGTTTGGATTTTTTTTTCCCTCCAAGCCCCCTGTTCCATTTAGAGTTTAGAAAGGCTGCAAATATCGCCCAGATCACACCTTGGCTCAGCGTCTGGCCCTTTCCTGTGCCTGTGCTGCACCCTGTGGCTCCGGAGCATCCCGGGCAGGTCTGTAGATGGTGCTGGAGCACCAGTGGGAAAGGAGGGAACAGCACAGAGCCCAGCCCGAGCATCCTTCAGCTCTCCTGGGCACCGAGCAGGGGAGGGACTCACCAGGCTGCTCCTCCCAGAACCTGCCAGAAACTCAACCTTTTCAGAGTTAAACCAAGATTAAAAAGTAAAACAGGGGTGTGAGCACTGCCAGCAAAACACAAACACCTTCCCAGCAGCAAAACACGGCGAGCGAGGACCGGTCCTGCAGATTCCAGAAGCATTCATCAGGAAGGGGTTAAGGAACCAGGACACATCCCCCAGCCTGTGCTGGGCCCCGAGTCAAGCTCGTTTCCGAACTCATCCCAGGCAGATCCATGTTTGCGGGGAGGGCAGTGACGGGGAGCAGAGCGCTCCCCAAATTCCGCATGGGCGCACGGCTGGGGAGGGCGAGCAGCAACAAAGCTTCCTCCTGATGCGAGGAAGGCATTTTTTAGCTTTTAACAGGGTATAAACATCATCCTCGCCCTGGGGCGTGAGTCCCAGCACAGGGACATCCCTGGGGTCCCAGGGCAGCGTGTCCCCACCCCTGCACAGCTCCTGGAGGATTTTCCTGCTCCATCTCCCAGTTGAGCACAGGCAGAGCAGCCCCCACCCGCTGCCCTGCCCCAGCCTCTCTCCCGAGGCAATTAGCTGGCTAATGATTATGGAGTTGAGAAGGCAATTTCAGGAAAACTGGTTTCTCCCTGGAAGGAATTGAATGGAGGCGCCGCTATAAGCTGATAGGATAATTTGTTTAAAAAGCAGCTGGCACCGTGTGAAGCAGAGACAATTCCCTGCAGGGATGGTGCCAACCTGCCCAGAGCCGGGGGATGGGCACACTGCTCCTCTCCTGCCCCAGAGGAGCAGGGAGAAATGTCTTGACCCCACTGATGTGGTGGGGACACCTCAGTGCTCGCCCTGAGCAGGGCATTGTCACCTTCCACCTGTCACAGGTGAGAGGCAGGGTTTGATGGTTTGATGCCCGTGTTCCTGCAGAGCATGGACAGCCAGGAGAGGGCTGGGCCCTGGGTTCTCATCCATCACCCAATAAACAGAGAATTGAAGGATGTCAGGGATGAAATGTTTCCATTCTCTGTATCATGTTCCAGCACAAAGATATCCCGAGGGATTTATTCTCGGAGACAAGTCAAAGAAGAATAATTGTTAAAGAGAAATTAATTTTATGTTCTTTTTTCTCCCCTTTCCAGACAGTTTATTTGTTACTTGTCAGATGAACCTTTGCCCTTGCTGAGATGCTGAGGACCCAAATCCCAGGAATGGAAAAGGAAAAGGTTTTTTAGGGGGCTGGGTGGCATTTCTGCTTTGTTGTCCCCTCACTCCCTGCGTTGAAAGCAGAGCTTTGAGCTGCAGGGGGGTCACTGGGCAGCTGCAGCAGTTGGCCCAGCTGGCCCAGACGGGCAACCCAGCCATGGCCCCGGGCTGGGACACACGGCGGCCACTCGCCCCCCCGGCAGCCCGGGTGAAGTCACGGTGATGTCACCGCGGCCGGCGGGTCCCTGCAGCACCACTGTGTGCAGGAGCTGCTCTGCCCAACCCCTTCCTCTCCGGAGCCAAAATCCCACCAGAACCCCCCAGCCCTGCGGCTCTCCCCGTTTTCTCAGGCACTGAGTGGCCCCAGAGGGAAAAATCCAGCGATCCTCAGCGAGGAGGAGCCCAGATGTGTGACAGCCCTGAGGTGCCACCCTGTTGGGAAGAATAAAGATTTGACAAGAAGGTCTCACAGATATGAATGTATAACAGAAAGATCTTTGAATGTAGAATCTGAAGAAGGAATAGAAATGAAAACAAGTGATATAGAAGAAAAGAATTGCAGAGCCAGTCTGGCTGGGTAACTAGAAGGCAAAGAGCTTCTGCTTCTCCTTCTCCTTCTCCTTCTCCTTCTCCTTCTCCTTCTCCTTCTCCTTCTCCT